TGTCGTTCACCGCAGTCGGGATCTTCTCGATGGCCGCTGTCATATACTGCGACTCGTCCTCCCTCTCGGCCGTCCATGCATCCAGCGCCTTTGTGCTGATCGTCGGTGCCTCGAGCTGCGTCGGCTCCTTTGGAAGTCGGTGACGTTGATCATCAGGTGGTTCTTCCGCGAGCGCGTGATCTTCACGGGCTGCTCGGATATCTTCTTGAATATCACCTGGTTACTCTTGACCTTGATGACTGCATCTAGGGCGTCCATCTGGTCCAAGCTCATGAGCCTAGGAGCACCTGAGTCTGGTAGCCTCTCGAAGTTGAGCGTGCAGTCCCGTCCTTGGATGCCGCTTGGTACTGCTTGAGTACTCTCGGCCATGACGGGGGCCGAGGTGTTGATACCCTTGAAGATGGTCTGAGTCGGCATCTGTATGTCCGCCAGCTCGAACTTCTCAAGATGGCTGTCGATCGCTCGATCTCCACCGCATGCTGCCAAGGCTGCCGCGTCTAGGACAATGTACCCGGGAGGTGCCACTTGGTCTGCTGCCATCGTGTCTATCATCTCGTCGATGACCTGAGCGATCGGGTTGATCGCCTCGTCGATGTGGTTGTGCGTCGGCTCGATCATGTAGACCTCGGTGGGTCTGGTGACTCCTGTCGCCAGCATAGCCGCTGCCAGACTGGTGCGTGCCAAAAAACCTCCAGCGCGTCCGCCACCTTGGCCTCGTCCTCGAGCTTTGCCTCCGGTGGTGGACTTCTTGGTCTTGCTGCACTCCGGGTCTCCAGCCCAGTGTCCAGCCTCGCAGCGCGCTCCACATTTGCTCACTTTCTGGAAGGCCCCCAGCTTGTCCTGGAGATCCTTCGATCCGAAGCTGATCTTCCCGTCGAAGTCGATGTATGTTTTGCCCTGCCGAAGTCCACGATTCGCCTTGCCGCCCTTCATGAATTGGCGCTGCCGAGTGTAGTTTGAGCCCGTTGAACCTGAGCTGCCCTTGCCACGTCCGCGGCCTTTGGCCGCGACACTTCCACCAAGCCGTTGAGCCTCAAACGCGAACACCTGCACCTCCTCTTCGCTGAGGTCGTTGACGTCCACGATGGCCATGGCCTGCTCGAGCTCCTCCACTTCGGCAGACAAAGCCTCCATCTCTTCTTCGCCCTCGTCTCCGCCACTGTCTTCTCCATCCTCCGGTTCGCCCTCGTTCCCGTCGTCCTCGTCGGGGTCCGCTGTAAAGGCTGAATTCCACCGGAACTTGCGCCCTCCACGTTGTCGCCCACCTGGCTGTTGCCGCTGAGCGTCGACGCCGTCGAGTTGTATCTCCAATGCCTCGCAGATCGCATCCCAATCGTACTCGTTCTGTGCCTGGCCCAGAAATGCCATGTGCTGTGCCTCCGTGATGCCACACATGTCTAGTAAGAAAAACGTGCGCAAGTCCTCCGGAACCTGCGTGCTGCCGCCTGTGAGGTCCTTCAGCTTCTCGCATGAGTCTCTCCTTCGCTGGATAAAGTCCTTTATCGGCTCGTTGGGTCGTCGATGACCACGCTTGCAATAGTCCAAGAACGCCTTGTGCTTCTGTAGCGGGGCCACCTTCTCGCAATGTGCCCGCGCGCATTTGATCAAAATGTCGCGTGCCTCCTCGATCGCCTGTCTTTCTCCTCTGCCGGGTTGCCCTTCTTGACCAATCTCGTGAAAGCTGAAACAGAGATCTTCTCATCCTTGTGGCTCAGCGTCCACGCTCTGCCCGCGAGGCCGTTCTGACCTTTGCAATGAAACTTTTTTCTTCTCTGCCGTCTCTGCGCCCAAGAAACCAAGCCGTACTCTTTCGTCCCATTCTTCTGCTGAAGCTGCGTCGCCATCATAACAGGGCATGCCGTCTTTGTCTAGCCAAACACGTGCACTCTTCCGTTTCTCTTTATCTGCGCCATGGTGTCGAGATCTGCTGGGTCTGCAAACTCTGTGATGTCTTTGAACTCTGTGAAGAACTCTGTGGGGTCTGTGAACTCTGCGTAGAACTCTGCGAGGTCATTGAACTCTGCGAGGTCGGGTTCTGCGAGGTCTGGAAACTTTCCGAGATCAAACTCTGCGAGGTCTGGGAACCCTGTGAGGTCAACCTCTGTGAGGTCTGTGAGCTCGGGGAGGTCGGCGACAGAGAACGGGTTCTCGAAGGTGGGTGGATGCCCGAACTTCGCAGAACAGGTCTTGATGTTATGCAATAGCGTTAGGAAGCTGCACCAATGAACTAGCATAGGCCGTCTTGAAACACAAGCTCCGCACTGCCAGTGTCAATGATAATGGGTATGAGCCACTCTTTCACGAGCTGTGAGATCCGCTCGGTCGATCAATATGAAATGGCGCCAGTCGCACCACGCACGCGCAGCTGATGAAATCAGGGAAACCCCAGTCAATGACTGGAACACATCTGATAACTTGTTATCGCTGCCTGGCTCAAAAAGGGGATCCCCTGATATCGTTTGAGAGGCAAACGGCCATGGAAACGCAAACATGGCATATCATGCAATACAAAACTCCTCAAGCCCTTGAAAGGGGCATTCAACTCCTTAGCTGCGCATCAACTGCGTTTCGGGCTGTCCCAAAACTCTCATCTTCGCGCGAGAGGCCCCCAAGAGCGACGGCCCCAGAGGCCTCCAAGACCGCCCCAAGACAGCCCAAGGGGGTCCGAAGGCGGCCCCAGAGGCCCCCGAGACTGCCTTAAGGGGGCCCCAAGACGGGCCCAGAGGCCCCCCAGAGGCCCCCAAGACGGTGCGAGAAGGCTCCGAGACGTTGAAAGATCGCTCCAAAACGCCCAAGATGGCCCACAGATGGCCCATGAGGCCTCTAAGAGGTCCACAGATGCCCCTAAGAGGCTTCCAAAAAAGACCCCAAAAAGCCAACATCGCTGATTTCCCGTATGTGTGTGATGGATTCCCGCGTTCCCGCCTTGTCGGCTCCCCCGCGCCCCAAACCGACCCAGAAGGCCACCTCCCCAAGACGGCCCAACAGGCCTCCAAGGGGCCCCCGAGACGGCCCAAGAGCCGCCCATGTAGTGCCAAGAGGGCCCAATGACTATGACGGCGCCAAGAAGGGCCCCAGGGTGGGACCAGGGATCGAAAACTCAAGCGTCAAGCGGTTCCCTGGAGATCCCAAGAGGCGCCCAGGAGGCCCCAAAAAAGTCCCCAAGGAGCTCCCGAGAGGCCCCAGGGTGCGCCAAAAAAGCCCCAAAAGAGGTCCCCAACGGGGCTCCGGACAGCTCCCACAAGGCATCCACACTGCCTCCAATATGCCTTTTGGAAGCTTCTCGCGAGATCCCAACGAACGTTCAATAGACTTCATGCCCGCAACCACGCGCGGTGGCGGGATGGGCCGAATGCCATTAAATGAAAGAAACCACAGCCGACAAGAGCCCATGGGGGAAGACCCGCCCCCGGCTGGCGGCACGCATCAGCATCGCCCGGTACTGGGTGACGGTCGAACGCGCCACCGCCCAAGGCCGGCCCACCCCCGATGGGTCCTTTGCGTGGTGCGTGCCGGGCGGGGGGGGCCTCCTCAGGGGCGCCCGCGATCTTGGCTTGAGATAGAAAGTCTTCGATGTTAGGGCTCACGAGATCGTGTTTGTAACGTAAACGGTCTGTGCCTTCAAAAAGATTTGGTTGTTCTCTCGTTTGTCGTCGTCGCCGCTTCGCTCGTTCGTTGGTCCTCGCCGTCGCCGTCGTCGTCGTTGATGCGTTGCGTTTGTTCCTCCTCGGCGCGCTCGCCATAATCGTTGCCGTAGTTGGCGTCTTCGTCGGCGTCGCGCTTGATGTCGTAGTTGCCAGCCTCGCTGTCGTCTGTCGTCGTTGGCCGTCGTCGGTCGTCGCTGGTCGCTGCTACTCGTCTCGGGCGTCGGTCGCGAGCCGCTTGCATGGGGGAGGCGGACTTGGCAAGGAGGGGGGGGGGGGGGGGCGGGGGCCCAGAGCGGTTGCAAAATGGCCCGAAGGCCCCCAACATCATTCACAAGGTGGCCCCAAGATGGCCCGACAAATCTTGGCCAAGATGGCGGCTCGACCGCGGGCGTTTCTAAGGGGGCAGGGGGCGACGGCAAGTCGCCACAGGCGTCTCGATCACAGATTGCACGCGCCCTGATCCCCAGCAGATCCACGTGGTTCACGCCCGCGCGTGCCCCCATTTTTGTGGCAGGGGTTTCGCGTTGTCTATCCCTCACTGTCTTTCCCCCGTTCTTTATTTATGTGTTTCTCTCTCTCTCTCTCTCTCTCTCTCTCTCTCTCTCTCTCTCTCTCTCTCTCTACATATATATATATCCTTCTCCCTTTCTGTCCCTCGCTCTCTCTATGGATCTGCTTCCGCGCGCATTATACTTCCCTGGTTCTGTCGGGTGGGACATAGCATGCGGCATGCGTTGCTGAACGGATGTTTTGATGGACATTTGTTTACGCGTGTGTGTACGTACGCGCGACATAGCAACATTTACACAACGCGCGCTGGTCCGCGTGCAGAAAAATTCAACTAGGAACCAGCTCCGTCTATACGCGCCTCCACCGCGGCTGCGAAGGGCGTGCTCCGCGGCGGGTCGGCGGACTGACTCGCGCGCGGCGGTCTGCGGGACCTGGCGTTCGCCATCGTCGTCGCCCGCGCATCGTCGCTCGCAGCGTCGACAATGTCGGGGTCGGGGGGGGGGGGGGGGGGGCGCCCTGATGGCGCGGCTCGCTCAGCCCCATCTGCGCCCGGCCCCCGAGCATCGGCCCGTTCACATCGGATTGGTTTCTGCGGCCGCCGCGGCCGACCTCTGAAGCAGAACCGACGCGTCCAGGGGCGCGCTGGCCACGATCCGCAGCTAGATGGCGATTTTTGCTTGCGCCTCCCCAAGCGCGCGACAATGCAACGGCGCATTCTTTTTTGTCCGAGCAGCTCCGTGGCCACTGAGCGTGCTTCGCCAGCTTCTCGCCCAGTATCTCGCCGTCGTCGCCGTCGTCGCCCACGTCCTCGGCGCCGCGGTCCGACGGGCCCCGCTGGCTGACCGCGCCCGCGCGGCTGTCGCTGATCACGCTGGCCGCGGACCTTGCGCTGCTCTCGATCCCGTCGCCTTCGACGCTGCTGCCGTGGCCGTCGACGCTGCCGCCGCGGCCCTCTACGTTGCTGCCATGGCCCTCTGCGCTGCCGCCCTGGCCCTCGACGCCGCTGCCCTGGCCCTCGACGCTGCTGCCTTGGCCATCGACGTTGCTGCCCTGGCCCTCGACGCTGCCGCCCTGGTACTCGACGTGCTGCCCTAGCTCTCGACGCTGCTGCGCTGGCCCTCCGCGACGTTGCCCTGGCCCTCGACGCGGCAGCCCTGGCCGTCTGCGTTGCTGCCCTGGCCCGCTACGTTACTGCCCTGGCCCTCTGCGGCGCTGCCCTGGCCCTCGACCCTGCTGCCCTGGCCATATGCGTCGATGCCTTGGCCCTGCGCGGCGCTGCCCTGGCCCCCGACGCGGCTGCCCTCGCCGTCGACGTTTCGGCCCTGGCCCGATGCGGTGCTGCCCTGGCCGTTTACGACGCCGCCCTGGCCGGCCGCTCGGCGCCCCCGCGCAGCGCGGGGGGGGGGGGGGGGGGGGGCGGGGCGGCGGGCGGTGGGGGGGCGCGGGCGGAGCGGGGGGGGCGCGAAGAGTGGCGGGGCGAGCGGGGATGCAAGCTTGGAGCACTTTAGTTCGGAAGGGTATTATCGCGCGGCTTTGCTGCTGATCCGAAATCTCTCCGACGCCGACGCCGCGGGCAGATGCGGGGTGGGCCTGCCGGGGAACCCTGCCCCGCCCCCCCCAACGTCTTCTCCTTCTCCTCCTTCCCCAACCAAGGTCTCCCGGGCGCGCTGCAAACGCTGGGCAATGGGGCCAGTCAGCCCGCGGCGGGGCTGTCACAAGGTAGGTCGCGCGCCCCGACCGTCGCTGTCACAGGCCCCCCCCTGACCCCCTGCCCACCGCCCCCACTGCTGCCCTCTACCCCCCCCCAATCGGACGTGTAGAAACCAAAGAGAGGAAAACCCATGAGAAAGCAGCAGGGGGGAGGAGAGCCAAGGGGAACCCTCAGAAATAGACGACGGCGAAGTAAGAACATGTCCCAACCGGTGAGACAAAAGGCTAAGGAGACGAGAGCAACGCACATAATGATCAACCGAACCAAGATCTTCGCAAGGGTCGGGTGGGCACCCCATACGGCAGCCCCATAAGGAGCAGTATGGAAGCGAGACGAGGTGCACACGGCCCGCGTGAGTGTGCGAAGAGGAGCTACCACAATGTAGGGCTGTGTCCGACGTATCACAAAGTGGGCATTCACGCAAAACCGATGGATCATGGTCCCCGTGGCCTGGGGGAACCATTTGAATACCCGCCGAAGGAGTATTTGCGTAGGATGTTCACGGCAGGAGGCAATCTCCCAAAACATTATGTAGAGCTGGTGCTGAAGGGAGTTGTGGGGCCCCGAAATCTGGTGGAAGACCGAATGGTGGGGCGGGGCCCACGGCACTGAGAATTGCCAGTGATAGAGTTTACGCATGTCAGTGATGACGGATGACGCCCACCATCCGCACAGCATCCTAGCAATCACGGGATCGGGGTCTTCCGAAAACGCCCCCAAGTGAGCGACAAAGGGCCCCAAAAGACGCATGAGGAATGATGGACCGAAGTCAGGGAACTCCATTGGGAGGTGACAACAGGTAAGTTGTGTACAGAGGCCATAGGAGAGAGCATTCCGTGGACCAACAGGCAAATACATGACAGCTTCGCGGCAGGCGTGGACAAGAGCGTGGGTGACAGGGTGGAGCTGCATGATGTAGGACAGGGGCACACAACCGTGAAACAGCGGAGCGGATTAGGGCCAAGTTGCCGGGCGAGCCGCACGCGCTGTTGAAACTTGGGGAGAGCTTCGTTCCACGCAACAGAGTCGGCACCACGGCCAATACTGATGCCTAAATACTTAACGACGTCGAGAAACGGAATCTTCTTGAAGTCCCCCTTCAGAGCCCTAGCGGAGTTCGTCAGCAGGTCGAGGTCCAGGGAGTCAACAATAACAACCTGGCACTTCCGAAAGTTAAGAGTAAGTCCGGCGATTTTTCCGAGGCGATCCAGCAAGGCGAGGACAGGAGGGGGCCAAGAGAGCGAAACATGTCAACGACCCCGAAACAGAAGTCATCGGCGTAGGCGAACAGCCTGTCAATGTGAAGGGACGCTTTCTCCGAAAGCCAGCGAAGGATCGGGTCGACTGCGAGCACAAAGAGGAGCATGCTGCTAGGACATCCCTGCTTGACCCCCTCTTCATGTAGAATCCCACCAGCCCTTTGGGCGTGAGTGGTTTAGCGAGCTCTCTCTGTTCTCAACCCCCCATCTTCCCCTTCGGGGAGGGGTTTACCCCTCCCCCTACCCCCTCCCCCTAGACCTGGACAGGGAGTCCGGGGCGTAAGGGGGGTCTTGTTTGACTCCTGGGAGGGCCAAAAAACGACGACCCTCACGAGGATTCTGGCCCCGACGGGGGGATCCAGTTTGGCCCCTCTGCTCTTCTTTAAAGCCAAAATCGTTGATTTTACTAGGGTTTTGGCCCCATTTTGGCGTTCTGAGGGGTCCGCGCTCATCTTCCTTCATAGCAGAATTATTGTTTTTACGAAGGTTTTGGGCTCATTTTGTTGTTTTCAGGGGGCAGCTCTCACTGGCGCTTCTGAGGAGGCCGCAGGAGGCCCCAAGATGGCCTCCAGAGGCTCCCAGGAGGCTCCCAAGAGGCCTCCCAGAGGCCCCCCAGAGGCCCCCAAGAGGCCCCCAAGAGGCCCCCAAGAGGCCTCAAGAGGCCCCAAGAGGCCCCCAAGAGGCCCCCAAGAGGCCCCCAAGAGGCCCCCAAGAGGCCCCAAGAGGCTCCAAGAGTCCCCCAAGAGGCCCCACGAGGAGCCCGAACGACTCACACCAGGACGAGGGGCCCGAACGACTCACACCACGAAGAGCCCGAACGACTCACACCAGAAGGAGGGGCCCGAACGACTCACACCAGGACGAGGCGCCCGAACGATTCACACCACGAGGAGCCCGAACGACTCACACCACGACGAGGGCCCCGAACGACTCACACCACGAGGAGCCCGAACGAGTCACACCAGGAGGAGGGGCCCGAACGACTCACACCAGGACGAGGGGCCCGAACAACTCACACCACGAGAAGCCCGAACGACTCACACCAGGACGAAGAGCCCGAACGACTCACACCACGAAGAGCCCGAACGACTCACACCAGGAAGAAGGGCCCGAACGACTCACACCAGGACGAGAAACCCCAAACGACTCAAACCACGAGGAGCGCTTTCTCTCCCTCCTCCTCCGCCTCGTCCTTCTCCCGCTCCCACCACAAGGAGGATGTACACGGAGGCGGGAGGAAGGAGGAACAGGGGAGATATGCGGGGGCAGGCGGAAACACGCCTGAAAACCACGACTGTCGGCATGCTTCGCAAGAGTTGCTGTTTTGAGATGGGCTGGTAGGGATACGCGAAGCGTGAAGAATTCACCGTGACTCCTCCCACCCAAACATGCAACGGCTATTTTCTGCTGATACAGCATACGGAAAAAGTGGCACACGTGGCTGCAGACTCCCATCCGCTCGAGCACGTGAAGTAGCCACGGGACCGCTAAAGACGGGAAGGCGGCGCAGAACTCCGTGAGAAAGAGACATGCGTTTTTCCTGTCGAGAATGTGTTGCTCCAACCCCCAACCTTCCGCGTCAACAACATCGGATAACATGTCACGACCCGCGACACATTTCTGGGTAGGGGAGATGGGCGATCTCGTGACCCTGGTGAGTGTGCAGCACATGTTTCGCGCCCCCGATCTTGGAAGGCCCTGGCCTTGATGAAGGCACGCCGCATCCTCTCCTTCACCTTCGCCCTGCAGGGCTGGAGGCCGTCTGCCCTGGCGCTCCCCGGACGCAACGAGGAGGGGGAGGGGGGCAGATAAAGGAGGCGCCGCAGAGGCGGGGGGAGGGGGAAAGCTGGATGGCGACGAGGCGGATGGGAAGAGGCAGGAGGTGAAGTTGCAGCAGCAGCATCGGGATGAGGCGAAAGGCGAGACTGAGGACACAGAGGAGGGGGAGAAGGATGTCGAGTGATGAGGAGGGGAAATGCGGGACAGAGAATGGTGGAGGCCCTGGGATCGGGGTAAGGCCTGTGGGACTTCATCTGCGCGTGCGGACGGAACGTTCAAGTCGCCAAAACGTCTGATGCGGCCCGTAGCTCACAACGGACCCTGCACTGCCTCTGCGAGTACCCTTGGAACGACACGCAACCTAAGAGGGGCCCACGGTTGAGGACCAGTGAGATCTGCTACTACCGAGCCTTACCATTCCTCCCCTTTCCCCTTCCCTTGTGCTCAAAGCCCTCCCCTCCCAAAGAGCGGCTCATTTGGAGCCCTCCATTCCAAGAGGGCCGCCCAGACAGCCAGCAGGCCCCGAAGAGGGTCCCCAAAAGGCTGCCAGAGGCCCCTGATAAGCCTTGAACAGGCCCCAGTGAGGCCTCGAATAGCGCCCCCCCCGCTCGAGAGTCATTGAAAAGAGGCCCAACAGTGCATCTAACAGGCCTAGTCCACGACCAAGGCGCGGTGGAGGGATGAACCACAGGCCACTAGATTTGCAAAACGATGCAGTCCTTGAAATGACCTGTGATGGACAACCGAGCGACATGAGGTGAAGGAGAGGCCAGCTCTGGTCCTCCCAGGTGGATGGGTCGGGCGAGACCAAGACATTCCCAACAGCTAAACAACTGATCAAGGATTGCGCTCGCGGCAAACACTTTCTCTTGGTAAGGCAAAAAAGGATGAGGCAGCCAATCGAACACACTACACGCTTCTACACTAATTTACTCCTCTCTCTCTCTCTCTCTCCTTCTCTCTCCTTCTCTCTCCCTCTCTCTCAATGTCTTTCTCTCTCTCTCTCTCTCTCGCTCTCTCTTTCTCTCTCTCTCTTTATGTCTTTATTTTTCTCTCTGTCTCTCTCTCTCTCTCTCCCTCTCTCTCCCTCTCTCTCCCTCTCTCTCTCTCTCTCTCTAATATCAGAAAACCATCTACTCATGTGCGTGCACTGATGCCTGGCGTCTGACCTGCCCAGCCGGCCCTCCTCAGGTAAATGCCCCACAGCTCCTCGAACGAGCACAGCGAGGGGAACAGCGAAAAGTCCATGCAGAAGCGCAGGAACGCGGAGAACGTCATGTGCTGCAACACGTGGGCTTGCTCCCCCAGGGGCGCGCCGGGCGGCGACATGACGACCTGCTCCTCGTCGCAGTAGGCCGTGAACAGCCGCTTGAACACGTCGTCAAACCTCAGGAGCACGTGTATTACGTCGGGCTCGAGCAGGATGTTGCGCAGATGCCACTCCAAGGCCCTGGAAGCCTCGCCCCGCACCGCGCACGCCCCAGGCTCCGCGGCCAGGTCGAGCTGCGCGGCCCAATGCTTGATGCCCATGTTCCAGTCGCCCAGGTCGCCCTCGAAGGCCGTGGGCGGACTCCAGTGCTCTTCGAACAGCCTCTTATGCAGGGAGCTGCCGCGCTCCCCCGAGCGCGGCCTCTTGGCTTCCGCATCGGCCCTCCGCCGGCTCTCGGCCAGCAGGGCCGTGGCGATCTGCTCGGCCCTCTGGAGCCCCACCTGAGGCGGCGAGAAGAAGGAACGGGCCTCCTGCGCACAGCTGCCAGGGCTATCCTGCGCGATGGCGCAGCTACCACCGCGAGCCCGCCAGGGCGGCACACCGCGTGGACAAGAGGGCGCCCTGCACGCCGCCCTGATGGGAGGAAAACAATGCACGCCACCCTGATGGGAGGCCTGCACCAGATCTCTCGACTGGTGCTGGGCCCCCTCCCTGGCGCGCGGAGGCGCGCCAGGGGCGGCGCCAGATGCGCCGGCAGGGGGTCCAGCACAGACCTAAGAGGTCCGCGCGGAACTCTGAAACTGTATGCTTGCGCAGTTGTTGGATCTCCCACTTACGCGGGCAACTCGCGCGCCCCAAGATGATGGCATCAAGGAAAAATCTCGCGATCGAAACAGACCACGCATCGTCAGATATGCATGGAGTCGACACTATATATGTTGGTCAGGCCGCCCACCTCAAAGACGCTCCACACGACGTTCGGGGACACCTCCATCTGACCGAGCAGCTGCCCAACCAGGTTGGCGCACTGCCTGGACGACGACGACGACGACGACGACGACGACGACGACGACGACGACGACGACGACGACTTTAACGACGACGTCGACGACGACTTGCCTGCACGTAGCGGCCCGAGCGGCCAGGGGCGGCTCCTCGACGGTGTCCTTGCCGCCCGGCGGCCTCTCTGGCGCCTCTCGATGGCGCGTCGCCTCGGGTGACGCCAACTGTCGGTGTGCGTGCCAAGATCAGTCAGCATCGAATCGGAGCATCGGATCGACTCGAAGTGATTGAGATCAGGCTGCATCGGCATGGCATCGAGATCGCATCGGATCAGGTGCGCCAGGGTGTACAACAGCGACATGCAACACTCGGGGCGCATCGGCTCGTCGAAACACCCGAACGAGATCGGATCGGGCCAGCAGGGACCGATGTCGAACCAGATCGATCGGATCGAAATGGGCCCTGCGTGCCTCCCTGGCCAAGCCAGGAACGCGAACGCACCGATCCAGGGCCCAGGATGGTCCTGGTCTCGATCGGCGAGGTCGAAAGCCGACGTCCCCCCGATCGCCATAGCATCGAACAGCCGCACCGCGTAGTGGTATCCAGGTCTACCTTTCCTCTCCCGCTCGTAGGCCACCAGGCTGCTGTCCACCAGAAAGCGGCAGAAGGTCGGTCTGAAGATGAGGGTCGAGTCTTCGTAGACGCGCCCCTCGCAGGGCGAGGTGGGGCCGGAGGAGGGGGGAGGGGGATTGCACGCCACCGAGGGGAAGAGAGGGGAGAGAGTCGACCAAAAATCGAGGGGGTTCCATCAAAGATGGCGTTTTTACCACCGCTGGTGGCTTTGACTGGCCAACCGCGGGCCAGCGAAAGATCGCCACCGCCCGCAGCAGGATCGATCTTCTCACGACATGCTTCTCCCCGCTTCTCCAAGCTCACGGGCTTCATCTTCGTTCCGACCGAAAAGCCTGGAGGCAATCAGAAAGACATAGACTCGCGGCGGCCATCGAAACCTGAGGTCCTCTCGGAGCCTGGGGCCCTGACGCCTGAACACCGGAACGCGCAGAGGACCGAACAGCTGGACCGCCACCAGTCGTGGAGAAACAGCCGTTCCAGACTTTTCCACCTCTTGATGCCCTCGACAGGTGTTGCAAAACAGAGCGGAGGCTGGCCTTCCGTACGCACGGGGCGCCCCAAAATAACTCCTCGAGCGAGGCCTGAGCAGCAGCAAAGTTCTCAGGAAGGGGATAAGTGTCTCGGGCTGAGGGGTCACGGAAGCATCACGCTGTCGAGCCTCTGCTTCATGTGACTCACATCAAGACGGGAGCTCGAGAGAAACCTGGGTCAGGCTATGTGTTTCCGCATTAGTAGAAATCAAATGTCACTGTAGTACACTTCAGTTTGGGAGTTCCTCGTCGATGCCTCCTGCCTCGATCCCCGATCTTCGATGTCGGCACCAGGCTCCGCAAGGTCACCAGATTCACGTGCGCGTGGGATGCACGCGATGCAGCGCCAGCCAGTGCAGAAGCGGAAGACTCGGCAGCGAGTGTTTGGCGGGTGAGAGGCTGGCCAAGAGAAGCTCGGGAGAGACTTGCTTGGGCAGGCTGGCTCCTTTCTGAACTAAGCGGTCGGCTTCGTGACTTCGCATCCGCTCAAACTCGGACAGACGTCCTCTTCCAAGATCAGTTATCAACGCATGGGCAATGATTTTTTGGCACGCAGCACAGCCGAGGCCTCCAAAGAAAAAACGGCTTGCCCACACACGTGAGCCCTAGCATTCCCGGTACAAAGCGTAACGGAGCCTGTGCACAACCTTTGCACAATAAAACAAGCATGGTCCTCGCCGTCGCGCGCCCCTTGCTGCTTTGCAGACGCCTTGTAGGACGTTGTTGCTCAGGCTTCGACGGGAGATGTTGGAGCCTAGGACACTGCGTTTTCAGTCCCCGCCGAGCTGTGTGCTGGAGGCCAGGTGGTTTCATCCTCTCTTGCCGTCCCAGCCCTGTCTAATATAATCCTGCTCGTCTCCTCTCCTCCTCCCCCCCTGTTCCTCCTCCTCCTGTTCCTCCTCCTGCTCCTCCTCCTGCTCCTCCTCCTCCTTCTCTTCCGACCCGTAAGTGCTTCATTAGTTATTCCTCGTCATTTTCCTCCTCCTCCTCCTCCTTATCCTGATGATTGTCCTTTCTCATACTCCTCTACCTCCCCCTCCACCTCCTCCTCACCCGCACGGCGACCCCGTCCTGGTGGGACAAGGCGGCGTACGCCTCCAGCACGGCCACCAGCCGCGCAGTCTACGCGCCCCCCCACGGGTGGGGTGGGGGGGGGCTGGGAAGGGGGTGGGAGCGACGGGGGGCGGAGGGCGGCTACAAACAGGGAAGGAGGAGAGGAGGAGAGGAGGGCGAGGGAGGGGATGGGGAGAAAGAGGGCGCAGGAGGAAAAGAAGGAGGAGGAGGAGGAGGAGGAGGAGGAGGAGGAGAGGAGGGGGACTTGTTTGGAAAAACCTCATCACGGCCTCATCGGCAGCATGGGACACAATGACCACTACATCGACGAACTGATCTCCATACCCTGTACGGGTGCCTCGAAGGGCATCCTTGGGAGAGGGGTCGAACGACGGGTGCGCATTTTGTATTTCAATGTTTTCAATACAAACCTGGCCGCGAATATACAATTGTTTTCGTGCGTATCTCTGAACTTGTGCATGCAATAATTTCTTCCAAACTAACAGGCGGGATGTAAACGGTTTTTGACTATCATTTCGGGTAGCGGCTGTTACCCGGGGGGAAGGGATGGCCAGCGGGTAACTGTAACGACGGCCACGGCGTGCGCCCGCCAGGGTGCGTCCACCCCATCGGGACATCAATTGCCCGCGCGCGCGACAACGCCAAATGCGCTCGTGCAAAACACCGCCGCCTGAGTGCACCACAATGCTTCGGTACACCACAATAGCTGCGTGCACAACGCCACCGCGTCGCCCATGTACGCCGCACTATCTGTGCATACTGCATTAACTGTGTGCGCAGCAGCGCTTGTGTACACCACATTGTTTGCGTGTGCGAACGCGCTTGTGTACACCGCAGCGCACGCGTGCACCACAACAACCATGTGCACCACAACGCCTGCGCACGCCACAATGCTTCCGTGCACCACAACGCCTGTCTACAACAAAACGTGCCAACGGGCACATCTGTAATTGAGTTTTTTCTTTTTGCGGGGCCCGCCACATATCGCGGAAACACTCACCACGTCGCCCGTGTACACCGCAACAACTGGAGAGTAGGATCGATGGCGCGCAAGCTGCTGGGCTGGCAGCTGGTGAAGTTTTGGCAATACCATCCGTAGCTTGCTTCGAACGGGACGGCCAGGAATAAATGAAATTACGCTACCGAGGAACCCCACATACTTAACTTAAATCGCGTGTGTTTGCTTAAGTTTATAATATATGCGCAATTCTGCGTTCTCAGCCCTCGTCGCGAATGTTCCCCTATGTGTCATCCAACGCCATATTGCTTGAACCTCCTCCCTCTTCCTAGCCTTCTATCCTCCGTCGAGGACAGATTCGAGCCAGCCAGCGGCCGCGGTGAGGGACCACCCCCTGCGCACCCTCGATGGTGTCGAGAAAGTGCCACGCCTGCTATGCCCTGGACGACCGTCGTGCGTAGCGGCCGCGGTGAGGGACCACCCCCTGCGCAGCCTCTATGGTGTCGAGAAAATGCCGCGCCTGCTATGCCCTGGACGACCGTCGTGCATAGCAGCCGCGGTGAGGGACCACCCCCTGTGCACCCTCTATGACGTCGAGAAAGTGCCACGCCTGCTATTCCCTGGACGACCGTCGTGCATAGCGGCCGCGCTGAGGGACCACCCTCTGCGCACCTCCTGTGGTGCCGAGAAAGTGCCACTCCTGACACGATCTGCGAGCGTGTCACGGATAGAGGCCGCGCTGAGGGACCACCCTCTGCGCACCCCCTGTGGTGTCGAGAAAGTGCCACTCCTGCCAAGATCTGCGAGCGTGTCACGGATAGAGGCCGCGCTGAGGGACCACCCTCTGCGCACCCCCTGTGGTGTCGAGCAAGTGCCACTCCTGCCACGATCTGCGAGCGTGTCACGGATAGAGGCCGCGCTGAGGGACCACCACCCTCTGCGCACCCCCTGTGGTGTCGAGAAAGTGCCACTCCTGCCACGATCTGCGAGCGTGTCACGGATAGAGGCCGCGCTGAGGGACACCACCCTCTGCGCACCCCCTGTGGCGTCGAGAAAGTGCCACGCCTGCCACGCCCTGCGAGCGTGTCACGGATAGAGGCCGCGCTGAGAGACCACCCTCTGCGCACCCCCATGTGGTGTCGAGAAAGTGCCACTCCTGACACGATCTGCGAGCGTGTCACGGATAGAGGCCGCACTGAGGGACCACCCTCTGCGCACCCCCATGTGGTGTCGAGAATGTGCCGCGCCTGCCACGCCCTGCGAGCGTGTCACGGATAGAGGCCCCGCTGAGGGACCACCCTCTGCGCCCCCCCAGTGGTGTCGAGAAAGTGCCGCGCCTGCCACGCTCTGCGAGCGTGTCACGGATAGAGGCCGCACTGAGGGACCACCCTCTGCGCACCCCCATGTGATGTCGAGAATGTGCCGCGCCTGCCACGCCCTGCGAGCGTGTCACGGATAGAGGCCCCGCTGAGGGACCACCCTCTGCGCCCCCCCAGTGGTGTCGAGAAAGTGCCGCGCCTGCCACGCCCTGCGAGCGTGTCACGGATAGCGGCCGCGCTCAGGGGCCACCCCCTTGCGCACCCCCTGTGGTGTCGAGAAAGTGCCACGCCTGCTGTGCCTGGACGACTGTCGTGCATAGCGGCCGCGGTGAGAGACCACCCCCTGCGCACCCCCTATGGTGTCGAGGAAGTGCCACGCCTGCCACGCCCTGCGAGCGTGTCACGGATAGAGGCCCCGCTGAAGGACCACCCTTTGCGCCCCCCCAGCGGTGTCGAGAATGTGCCGCGCCTGCCACGCCTTGCGAACGTGTCACGGATAGAGGCCCCGCTGAGGGACCACCCTCTGCGCACCCCCTTTGGTGTCGAGGAAGTGCCACGCCTGCTCGCCTGCCGCATGGTTTGCCGTGTGTATGTGTATGATGCGTGTGCGGCCATATCGGGACATATCTCACGTGTTGCCCAGTATGTCGTGCAGACGTATTGGGTGCATGATGCAATGAACATGCGTCTTGTATGTGCGAATGTGTGCATGCGTGCGGCTGTGTGCGAGTGTGTGGGTGAGGAGGCGGGAGGTGTGTGAGACGCGGGTGCGGCGCGGCATGGAAGAAAACCAAAACCCCACGACGAAGCATGTGGGGAACAATATGGGGGGAAAGAGGAAACTCGGGAGCGATGTGCGGGAGGAGGGAGGCGGGAAGGTGTGGGGGAGCTTGGAAGGAGGTGAACGTTTTTTTTGAATGGCGCATGGCCAGGTACGAGCGAACAGTCACATCGTACCTCGGCGCGCCAGCACGCAACGCAAATGTCACGAAATTCGGCCCGCTAGTGCCGGCGAGAACTACGAGGAACGAAGGGGAGGACGAGGCGAAGGGACAAGGGCGCTGTGTAACTCCACATGGCCCAAAAGGCCACTTACATAATCCCAATAACGCACAGCGCAATCCAGAGGGGAAGAGGAAGGAGAGGAGGAGGGGCATGGGACGACAAAGCAGGGGGAGGAGTGTATTAGGCGGTGAAGCAGGCGGGCGGAGGTAGAATTATGCCATGCCATACAGCAACTGCACTCATGGCATCGTTCGACGTCGCCTCTCCTTCGTCTGCGCCACTTGTAGCAAATGCGGGGTAACCGTTGCTCCACCCAGCCATGGCTGCGAAATCCCCAGGCAGCATTGCTTCCAGAGTTCCACAAGTAGGAACAGCAGGGGAAGAGAACATAGGGATATGGACGTAAACCACACTAGTCTGCGCATTGCAAGAGCCTGCTGGCGTCACAACAGGCAGGTGAGCCTTTTAACACCACGCCATGCCTGTGACATCGGCGCCGCAACAAGTGGGGAACTTGCGAACGCCACAACACGATTGCGAGCACCACACATGCCTTTCAGCACCACGCCATGCCTGTGAGCACTGCGCCATACCTGCTCAGAGGAGGAAAGGTCCGCCCCCCACCCCCGCAAAAACGTAGGATCGTTAGCGCCATCCGGGGGGGGCGGGTAGCACGGGTAGCAAGTGTTGCCCGCCAGAAGACAAATAAACAAAATAACGCTAACATGGTTCGAGCAATGTGGGGGGGGGGGGCTGTTTAGGATGCGAAAAGACTCACGGCCAGCCTTAGCCGATCACTTAGCCGATTACGTGCGCTGCTCCTGTATTTCTCCGGATACGCCGCAAGAATTTACAATCATGACGGGAAGTGAGCGTTTCGCTGGGGCGGGGGCGGGGTCTCCATTCGTGGCCGGCAAGGGAGTTCAAAACCAGTTGCAAATCAGTTGCGGCTCAGCCGATATCTCAGCCTTACCACACGCACTGCTGATATTTGTCCGAACCTACTCTGTCGCTGCTAATGTTCCTTACGACCTCCTGAACTTCTCATTGCCGATCATGATGTCCTCCATCACCCATTTTCGCTTTGCTCTGAAATTTACAAGAACAGTAGCCGACATGCAACTGATAGACAGCTGGCCATTGGCACTCACAACCGGTCGAGCCCAGGCCAGCTGGCCGCAGGGCTTCTCTCCAGTAGCACTTACGAATTATGTGATGCCTCAACCTTATCTCACGCACTGCTGCCAACCCGTTGTTTGAACCTACTCTGCCTCTTCGCCTGACCATCTGTCTTAAGCTCTACCCCAGCAGACTCCTCTGCACGGCTGTCAACATTACCGCCAGCAACTATAACCTTGACGAGGGGAGGGTTCTGGGGTTGGAATTCGGGCATTGTGGACGGGGATGCTTAGAGTGCCACTCCTGTTCCGGCTCCAGGGCCCTGGAACCCAGGGCCTCAGACAGCGGGACCGTAGACTCCTGCACATCAGATTCCAGGGCCTTGGACTCCTGGGCCCTAGACTCCAGGGCACTAGATTCCTGGGCCCTACAGTCCACGGCCCTAAAAACTCCTGGGCCCTAGACTCCAAGGCCCTAGGCTCCAGGGATGCCAGCAGCGACGCCAAAAACAAAACGAACAACGAAGCGCACGCCCGACCGATGGCTGAAATTATGGCAGAGGCTGGGGCCCAGGCTGACGATCAGGCCAGGATCGCAAAAACAATGACGGGGGAAGGAAACCACGAAGCGAAAAGCGACACGGACGC